TACTACAAGCCCAAGTGGTTCTAGTTGGAACAATAATGGCGGTTTCTCATTTGGCACTCATGAACCGATACAATTGTCCAATGATTCAATCTATAAAGTTATGGGTCTTTGTTTACATGGAAAAATGAACATTTGAGGTAGATGATGCAGTGATGCTGTATAATTCTATGTCACAATCTATCTTTTTTTTTTAAAAATAAAAATTATATATAAAAAAAAAAAAACTATGTATTAACATTTGTAAGATAACCTGTATTTGTGGTTGTATGAAGTATGTAAAGTGACTCGATTGAATGTATTTGCAGTATTACATGCATGCAATTTGCATTTAAGCACATCATATTTCAGCAAAATTGAACGTATTGCGTTTTCATTTTGGCCATAACAAAATAAAAACGGAGTATGGATAAAGTTTAAGTACAAATGAGTGACGACATTTGTTTGTTCTTTCGCCTCTTAGCTCTTGAGCAACGAACCGATTTATTTGTCTTGCGTTTGGTCGCTTCAGGGTATGGTCCTCGATTGTGTCTGTGTCTGTCCCATTCTCGTCGCTATCCTCTCCAAGGTCCGAATGCCCATCATCCTCTTCATTTTTGTCTTCTCCCTCTTCATCTTCTTCATCTTCCTCATCATCTTTATCTTCTTCCTCTTCGTCATCTTCCCCTTCGAACATTGGTGCTTTTCCCTTTCCAGCATGGTCATGTTTGTTTTTGGATTGTTCCTCCTACATATAATGCAACAACAAACGTGATAAACTTTTAAGAAGAAAAGTCACTTTTATGAAAATGCTCCATTTACAAAATAACTCGCTTTTTTATTTGAGTCGTGTAAGCTGACTTGCTGCTTTCAGACACGTTGAAAATAGCAAAGCATTCAACCCAGCAATGTGCTGCAGTAGGTGTGTAACATCTTCAATGATCACCTACAATATCAATGCAATTCAGAGTTTTAAACAAAAATAAACTATAATCAAAATGACAGTATTTTGTAAATCATATTACTTACGTGCGTCACTTTGCTGGGTAACGGTAGGTCAATGCTTTCTTGTCCCTGGGAGATCCGGACTAACTTGCTTTCATTAGCATTTGTGAAGTTGGGCAGCCTGATTGACCAAGGTTGACGAGGAATGGTTCCAACCGTCACACCTTTCTTATTTTCCTGTCAGATTGAGAGAAAATGTTTGAATAAAGGAGCGACTACACATGTGACAAAATGACTATGAAGCAATTCCTTTTGCCTTATCTTTCATGTCCGGATAATGACGGTAAATCACAAATTCATCTATATATTTGGCGTAATCCGTGATGGCTTAGATCCAATTGTCAACGGAGGAGCCATTCAATACCTCATGTTCCTCATCTTTGTTTGCAAACTTGTAATCACGAAGCATGGTCTTGGAGGAATCTTGGGGACATAGGGTGTGCGAGTCCACATACTCTGAACGGTGACTCGCTCCCCCAAGTACCAGGCACATCCAACTGGTCCTCGAAGCAAAATTCGTTGTCGGGTGGCAGTCATACTATCTTTTATGCAACGAGGGAGCCATGAATGCTAGACAACCTGTGCATTACCATTTCAATTAAGGACGATAGTAAGTTTTTGCACCATTAGCTAACAAAAAAAAGCATGCAAGATGAAATGCCACCTACATTATCATTTGTGAGATGTCGCATAATGACTCTTAATGGTTCCAATTGTGCTGTAAATCACACTTTGAGGTTGGCCCCAACCACCTCAAAGCCCTGGGCCATGTATCAGCATTGCCCTTGGGGCGCTTAAGTGCAAAGGGCTTCAGGTATTCACATGCCCATACCTATAAATGGTTTAACAAGTTAATTGTCATTATTTTTAAGCTAACAAAACAATTTGAAAGAATGAGTATAGTAACTTTCATTTCAACTTACCTCTCAAGCTCTCCAATAACCTCTTGTGCTCTCGTTCATACCCCTCATTAAGACATCCATGTATTTGTAAAGGCATGTCAACCCCCCCCTCCCCTTAATTGTAATTCTTAATTTCGTCCACATTTTCTAGACAGGGCATGTAGTGCAAGCAGACAAACTGGAACTTATCATTTAAGAAAGTTGAACCAATCAAGCAAAGGATGAAAACCTTTGTTATTTGCTCAACTTCAACTTAATTTTCCGGTTCTTTGTGCTAGTATGCTGTACAAAGATCATCATATCTAATCCTCTTCAAATCAGCCTTCATACCAACTTCTTTCCCAAACATTAACTCTAACTTCTTCTTTCAGTGAGCCAACATGTTGTATTTCAATGGGTTTCTGCTCACACGAAGGCCTGTGATGGCACTGAAGTCCATTAGGGTCATTGTCATCTCCCTAATGTTATCAAAGTGGAACGTGTGTGTTGTGTCCCACCATCTCTCAACCAAAGCAACAAGCAAGGGATATCGCCCGTTTTCCCTTTCCCTAATATCTTAATAAAGTCTTCGAAGCTGGCTTCAATTACCTTATCCTTTACAGAGGAGTGCAAATCGTAGTTCCATCAATCTGCACATATGTTGTTGTTGCCATGGCCCTTAATTGACTGCACATTCAACTGGAAAGACAAATAATAACTTGTTAGTTCAACATGCTACAAAAGAAGGACATATTTTTGCAGATACCAAATGAATGACAGATTTTGCAAATACAGATGCATAGTGTTTATAGACAATTTAGGTACCTTGTACGAAATATGGACAGATTTTGCAAATATCAAATGAAGTACACATTTTGCAAATACCAAATACCAGATTTTCCAAAGATGGACACATTTGAGTTTAGGAATAAATTTTTTTAGGTTGACTGTAGAAATAAATACAACAATTTTTCAATTACCAAATCAAGGTCAGATTTTGCAAATACAGATCGAGCTCTGTTTTCCATATCCATCCTCCAAATCTAAAGGAATAACAACAATCAACAATCTTATGCTAGACTGATTCATACATTTTGATTAGAGTATAGCTTTTTTTGGGGGGATGAACTAGGCCCCGTTTGGGATTGCTTTTTTTGGCCAAAAATCTATTTCACTTTAAAGTTAAGTAGTTTAAGGTATTTGGTAAAAATTAAATATCCTGATTATTTTAAAAGCAGTGGCCATTTGACAGCAACTTTTAAAAGCATGCTCTAGGTTGCTTTTCAAAGCTGCTTTCAAAAGAAGCAGAGATGAGCCTAGTTTAGGTAGTGGTAATACTATAATTATTTTAGGTAGTGGTAATACTATAATTATTTTTTCATTCAATAGAATTGGTCTATTTCTATATATATATATAAATAATTAACATTAAATAAAAATTTAGGACTCCCTTATCTCTTCTCAGATTTTGAAGCTCATAAATGCCTCCCTATTTTAGGAGGTGAATAGAGAGTATGGTTGGAGTTGTATTTTTCCAATTACTCCTTCAAATTTTTCTATAAAAGTGGTTAAGGAAGCCTATTGCGGATGCTCCAAGTCCTTAGAAGTCATTTTATAAAAGGGTAAATTTGTTTTTAAAAATTAGAAAATAAAATGAGTGAGAAAATAGGATAGGGGTGAAAATAGTAGCATTCATATATATATAAGGGAGATTCTCCAATAAGTATTTAAGTTAAGAATTGGTTACATACTTTTAATTTCGGTCGTTGGATTGCATCTAAGAAACTACCAACATATTTAATGAATGCAATTTAACAATCGAGATTAGAAGTGTGTAACCAATCCTTAACATAAAATACTTATTGGTTTGGTGAAACTAATTAAAATTCTAAAATTTAGCAACTTAATTAATAAGGGATAAAGTAATAAATGCAAATCTATTAAATTAAAAAAAAAAGTTTAAATAAATGAAGAGTAGTGGGCAGATGTTATGTGGCTTGCTTAAAAAAAATAAAAAATAAATAAAATCGTTGCTTCTTTTTTCAATAAAAGAATATTCACGCATGTAAAAAAACATTTAAAAAAATAAAAAAAAGTAAATTGGCGCTAGTTGTGTGTGTGTGTGTGATTAAAAGAATATTCACGCATGTAAAAAAACATTTAAAAAAAAAAAAAAGTAAATTGGCGCTAGTTGTGTGTGTGTGTGATGTGACCATAAAAAGTAAAACAAAAGAATTTTACTCGAGAAAAAAGAAGATGATTTTTTTGGTAAAATAAAAAGAAGGCATACGAATTTAAGTCGTCTGCAGACTCTTCAAATCTATTCTAATTGTAATCGTCTCTCAACGCTAATTCTCGCTAAGGTACAAAGCTTCTCTCATCTTCCCCTCTTCATTGTTTGGTTTCCGAGAAAATATTTATTGTATTCAATAGAAATTTCAATTGGTTGTCTGTAAAAAGGAATAATTGAATTTGTGTTTTCATTTCGAAATTATTGGTTGGCAACTTGATTAATTAATTGGTGAGCTCAAGTTACAGAAATTTTGCACGCTTAATTGATCTCACGGGAAAATTTGAGTAGCATCTGAGAGTAATTTTCCCCAATCCTAATTTTGCGAATTGGTTATAAATTGGGTTCTTTTGTACGTGAGTTTTTGATTACAATGATTATTGAATTGATAATTTAGTTACAAAAATTTGAAAAAATAATTGACTAAAACTTTTGCCACGGTCTAGGTGTGTGTTTGTGTTTACCTGAATTATGCGGTAAGCTAACTGAATGTTTAGCTGAATTATGCTATGGTTTCATTCAATGAGGTTTTTCTGAAGGAATACTAAGTGAGAACTTTTCCCTGTCATCCGCTCTAGATGCATTAAGAATGGGTTAAATCCTTCTTTTCTACTGAATTATGTGAAATTATGGATATTGAATTCTTTGGAGGTTTGCACTTGCCATCAGTGTTTTTTTTTTTTTTTTAAAAACAACCCGGGAAAAACGACGTCGTTTTTGCCCATGGATTTTTTTAAAATGACCTGGCCAAAACGACGTCGTTTTGGGCCAAGTCTGAAATTAAAAAAAATTAAAAAATGGCCAGCGTATCTTCTCTCCACAGCACTGATTCCTCCCTTCTGAAACCCCCAATTTTTTTTGTTTTCTCCTCCAACCCTAAGTTCCCAACTCAATCCCCCCCTCCCCAAAACCCTCAACTCCATCTCCTCCCTTGCTGCCGCCGTTCGGGTGCCGCTGCTGCCGTTCGTCGCCGTGTGGTGGTGCCTCCAGCTACTCGCTTTGTTTTTACTCATTGTTATTGTGAAATTTCACAATTTCAAGTAAGTTCTAAACCCTATATATGATATATTTAATTTAATTGAAACCCAATTCATATTTATTTTGATTATATTGGTAGTTTGATTATATTGTGAGTTTTTATTTTCATTATTTTGTATATGTAGAATAAATTTAATTTAATTGAAATCCAATTCATATTTATTTTGATTATATTGATGGTTTGTTTATATTGTGAGTATTTATTTTGATTATTTTGTATATGTAGAATTATTATGGAACGATTTTTTAAGAGAAAGTCATCATCGGGTTTGGGTAGTTTGGATAATGTTGATAGTTCAAATAATGTTGGTAGTTCAAGAACTCCAAGTTCAAGACAAAGTCAGCAATGTTTTCAAAATATGAAACCTCGTCGTGGACAATTGTAGCTTGTAATGTTGTTTCCGAAATTCCGATATGAATTATGAATGAAAGTACTATGATTTTATTTTCAATATTTTTTTCCATCCTAAATTTTTATTGGGACTTTTACACTAAAACCCCTTGTGGTAAGATTCCTGACTCCGCCACTGCTTGCCATTCGAGCTTACGAGTGAATTGCGGTTAGCTTTATTTTTCCTTAGAAGTATAAATTCAAGAGGGCATATCCAGGTAGTGATTGTAATATGATTGCCGCATGAGCGTGGAATTAAAGAATTGATATACAAAATTTAAATACTTTTTCACACTAGCGGTCATCCAATTCTTTATTTGTAGGTATGACCTAGTTTTCAGTCATATTTTTCCATAGTCAATTTTGAGATTTGCTATTTTGTAGCATAGATCAGCGCTAGCCAGACATTTGAAACCCAATAGATTTTTAGGTTTTAAATATAGTTTCGCAAGAGGCCTTTTAGATAGGTTTTCTCTTTTTCGATCTGATTTTTCATTCTATGGTACTTTTGAGTAGAGTGCTACATGTTCTTGGACTATCCTTTGAAAGTAATTCTTAAATGTGTGCTTTAACCATCTCTTTTAGATCTATGCATATTTCAGCATAGTTTATGTTTCTGTTTCATATGAAAATTAAAAAGTCTTTGGAATCTACAGATCTTATTGAAACTTTGGCATTTTATCTGAACCCATGGAACCGTCTCTCGCCTCTCTGACGTATAAGGGTTCCATACCTGAAGCAATCACTGAAGCAAAGAAGCAGAGGAAACTCTTTGTCGTGTATATTTCAGGTTAATGATTCCTCATTTGGTTTTATTTTGTATCTGAAAGTTTCAATCAGCATACATTAGTTGGAAGATTATTTTTTCTTTTGTTTGTTTGGTTTTTGTATATACTTGTGATCTTATTGAAACTTTGGCATTTTGTCTGAACCCATGGAACCGTCTCTCGCCTCTCTGACGTATAAGGGTTCCATACCTGAAGCAATCACTGAAGCAAAGAAGCAGAGGAAACTCTTTGTCGTGTATATTTCAGGTTAATGATTCCTCATTTGGTTTTATTTTGTATCTGAAAGTTTCAATCAGCATACATTAGTTGGAAGATTATTTTTTCTTTTGTTTGTTTGGTTTTTGTATATACTTGTGGAAAATGTGGTGGTGGTTTATTGAATTAGTTTAAGAGTTCCAAGAGGCTTTCGCTATTTCTATGGGAGGCAGGGGACACTGGTGCGATATTTTAGTTGATTAACATTAATAATATGCTATCTAATGCATACTCTAATACTTTAGTTGATTTTTATGCAACATGGTATTCAAATGGTTAAACTGGATTGAATGATTGATTATTCATGCTCAAATTAGCCTGTGATTGGTTGGTTTGGCTCTTTTTCATGTGTGAGTATAATTGATGGACACAATTTATTGTTTAGGAGGCTTTGGTTATGTGAATCATTAAAATTTCTATGTTATATAACATTAGCACATACATTGCAAAAAATGAAGTATGATGAAGTCATTTGAATAAACAGGAATATAAAAAAACCCATTTTTGCAGCTAGGAGAAGTCATTGAATATACAGTATGATAAGTTTTGGGGGAGAAGCAAATTTTGTGCAATATATTGACAGTTATCGATGCGTTATTTTTCAATGGTTAACTTTTATGGAAGTATGATGGGATAACTGTATTTTGGGTAGGATGGTTGGGAAGAAAAAGAATTTTAGACAACCATAGGTGAGAGGGGTTGAGGTTTTGTCTGATAAAGTTCTAAGCTTGGTCATCCTTATACACTTCCTCAGAGTTTCATGAAGTACCCTTTTTCTATTTTATTGGAATGAAGAGTCAGAATTTGAAAGTTTGTTGAAGGACATCTTATCAAGACGACAACATAGGGATAGGCGATAAACCTAATCTGTTGTTCACAATTTAAAAAGTGTTACACTTTGTTTGGGTTTGGGCTGTTGTTTAGGTGCTAAGCTCTATTATTGTAACACAAATTTATTATTTGAAGGTTAGCTAGCTTTTAGATTTGGCTTTTAGTGGTCATTTTGTCCTCTGTAGTATCTGTTTGCACATAATAAAATGTAAAAATTAAAAAAAAAAACATATGTTTTTCATATAAAAGTCTTAAATATTGGGATTTTATTTTGGAAATGATTCTTTTAATTAATCAGGTAAATGCTTGATTTTTAAGCAATAAATTTTATTTATTTATAGAAAGTGTTAATGAAGGGAGTGTTTGATAATCATTTCATTTTTGGTTTTTACTGTTTTTTTTTGTTTGAGTTAGAGGAAGATATATGGGGGACAAGGATGAAGAAGGGTGGAGGGAGGGTGGAAGAAATGTATACAGAATGATACATAATGAAAACTAAAAAAAATTATTTTTATTTTTTTTGGTTTGATCACTCCTTGTTGAATGTGGAGAGGGAAGCAGCAGTTTTATTTTCGGTGGGTGGAAGCCGAAGTTTCTTAGGTTCTTCTGGTGTTTTCTGTTCTTGATGTGCAACTTGGTTTTCTATTCAATTGTTGTTTTATTTAAGGATTTATGTATTTCATTACCGTTGTATAGTTTGAGACTTCTCTAGGTGGGGACCACTGTTTTGCTTTGTTCATATTGTTTCTACTGAATTTTAATAAATTTGTTCTCTTACTATCAAAAGAAAGAAAGGCGAAAAAATTGTGAAGGGGAGGGCTAGATTGTTGAAATAGAGAGAGAAAAGGAAGATATTGTGAAAACTTAATTCTCAAAATTCCATAGTTTTAATTAGTTGTATTAACTTATTTTTAAACGTTAAAACAAGGCAGTTTAACAAGTAAAGGACCAAATTTTTCGCTACAATGGCATCATTTTCGTACAGATATTTTTGTCCACCTAATGCCTCTCCCCTCATTCTCACTTTTAGATGTAGTATTAGTGATTTTGCTTATGTTGTATTTTGTACATATGTAAAAAGCCTTCTATGATTGTGTGAATTACAATTTTGATGTACATATGTAAAAAACTTGCACATGTTACTTTCCTTTTTTTTTTTTTTTTCTCAATTGGTGTTTTATATTGTATAAAGATTTGTAATGATGTCTTTGTTAGAATCTTTATTGTATGTAACATTTGTTTGTTTTTCGGTTTTTCAGGTAAAAATGATGAGTCTAGTTGCTTGGAAAATTCTACATGGACTGATGTAAATGTATGTTTTGTTCCTTTGCTCTTGGTTCTGTGTTTCCTTATAAATTTATTTAATTCTTATAGCTCTGCTCTGTCTGTCATTCTTATGTTCATGTTTTTCATTCAGGTAGCAGACTCGGTAGCAAAGTACTGTATTTTATTGCATATCCCGGAAGAAAGCACTGATGCTGCAAATTTTTCTGCAATATGTATCCTTAAATTGAAAGACGATTAAATACATAAATTCCTTCAGAAGTTGGCCTCCTGAGCTATTGCAATTCTAAATGTTCATGAGAAAATGCCACATGATAATCTGAATCTATTAGCAGAGAAGTACATCTTTAGCAGGTTCTGTTGTCAAAATATCAAAATCTAAAAGAAATATTTGGTAATTATTAAAGCTGTCTTTTCTCTTTTTAGGATGATTAAGTAACTTTTATTTCTACTGTGTGCATCTTTACTTACTTCCAACGTCCCAAGCTTTGGAAACAGACAATGGCCAAATGGGGCCATGGTCTCTCAGTACCTCATTTAGAGATCTGAATGAACAACTTAATGTTCTCCATTCTGATTATATGATCCATTTAGTACTGAGTCTACCACCTTCGTTTTTGCAAAAGGCTTTTCCTCAGTAGTTGTCCATCTGATTTTACAAACCCAGAACATTTACCTTCCTGCCAAAAAGCAGGAATGAGGAAAAGCATTGGACATTAGATTAATTCCAACCTGAAATCGCAGCTTTCATAAGTTGTAGTTTTGAAGTAGGTAAATTTAAATTCTGTGGTTATTTGTTAATTATTTTTCTTTTCTATTTGTTGTCCCTAATTTAGGGACTGTTGAAGCTGTTCTATATTTTTCACATATCTATTGACACCACTACAATTTTCTAAATTACATGTTTTGTTTATGGCTTATTTTAAGCTCTTTACATTATTAGAAAGCCAAAGATTCTATCCTTACATCAGCAGGTTACAGACCCACAGAAATCTATACCTTGTATTACAGCTATTGGATACAATGGTGTACAAATTTGGCAAAATGGTATGATTTTTAAGAATTTGTTTAAGAAAAAGTATATAGAGCAACACATACGCATAAGCATGTTTTAAGAATTTGGTTCGTCTTTCAGAGGGCTTTGTCAGTGCTGAAGTCCTGGCGTCCAGTTTAGAGAAGGCGTGGTTGGGTATTCATATCCAGGTATGTTTTTGCTGTTTTCTTTTTATCAATCATCATATTTTAGTACCATACCAATTCAAAAACACATTGATGCATGATGAGATGATATTTGTCATGTGGTTTTGAGTTTTGTGTTTTATTTATGTTATGACATTTCCAGCTGGCCATCTTCAAAACCAAGATTGGAGTTATTGTGTTAGACCCTTCCCAACTCAGGGATGGGCAAAATACCAAGTGGAGCCTGACTGACCCTACCAGGTCAATCCGGTTTGGCCAAGTTTTCACTCTTTGAACTGGTTAAGTCAGCCTGTTCTTTGAACAAATTGATTAGCTTGGCTCAGGTTGCACATTCCACAATATGAAACCAGAAAAAAACCAGCTTGAACTGGTTACTATTACGTTTACATGTCAAAATTTTATGAAATTGGTATGCTGAAAGACTTGAATCCAAGATCTGTGGGGGCCAGCTTGGGTGCTTCACCCTATGACTACTGTCAGCTTTTATTTTAGGTTATATGCTGGGGGCATGGGGACGTGAAAGGGGTGTTAAGTCTTTTTATAACAACAGCTCCGTTCCATCTAATCCCACAGAAAGAAAATACCTGTGTGTTGTATCCATGGGAATCCCGAGATTGTTCTGACTGCTGCTACCTCATAGCGTCTTTTATCCATTAAGCATTTGCAAAATCAACATTACCTCCCTTTTGGAATCATTGTTAATGCTTGATGAATGCACATAAGCTGGGTAACTGTAGGGATTTTTCCATTTTATTTGAGAAAATACCATGCACGCACTCTTGATCTCAGCTATATGCTCCAGAACTCCCTGACCTGCATTCTGAGAGCTTATGCGACCATGCATTTTCTTAATTTGTTTTTAACAGAAAGAATGACCAATATTATCTGATAATCAACTGTAGGAAACAACTGCAACTGTGTTGAGTGCAGCTCTTGCTTCAAATAACTCTGAACCGTCTACTTCGGGGGTTCCTAATACTGTCTCAACTGATGAAGGAAGTTCCTCAAGTACTAATCCGGGAAGTTGCTCAAGTGCAGTTGTTCCGTCGCCTTCAATAGACACAAATGATCAATCACCTGATGCTATAGATGCTGTCTCTGACACAGTGAAGAAAAATAAAGTTCGTGATTGCAGAGTTGAGGTACATATTATAACCTACATTTACAGTCCCATTAAGTTTTTTCGTATCTGCAAACTTCATAAGTATGACATGATGGTCCTGTTATTCTTTGGCATAAATAGGACCAAAATAACGATTTAGGATACAAGACATCTTCAAAATCATTTGATGCTAATGGGTTAGAGTGTGTCGGGGATGAACAGTCCAGCTCTCCCATCAAATCTGCCCAAGGACTACAGGGTACTGATATGGAAGACCTGAACAATTCTGGAGCTGATAATGTTTCTTCCATTGCTGAAGTTGGTTATAGTGGCGCTGAAAAGACCACTGTTAATCATTCAGGTGTCTCGGGAGAAGCTTCACAAGCATATGGTAGTGAAAAAAATGAAGCTCTGCAAGTTGAAAAGGGTGAAGTTAAAGATGATAAGAAGGTTGATGCATTTGAGAAGTGTACGGAGGTCAGCAAATCAAGTGATGTTCACTTGAATATCCGATTGCCCAATGGTGTCAGCCTGAAACAGAAGTTTTCTGTGACAAGTACTATGAGAATGGTCAAAGACTATGTTGATGAAAACCAAGGAACTGGTATTCGCACTTATGATCTAGCCATCCCTTATCCTCGCAAGGTATTCTCTAATCAAGGTAAGAAATGCTGGAGATAGCTCTCGCTCTCGCTCTCTCTCTCATTTTTTTTGATCTAGGATCTTCTGTTTTAACTTCCCATTAACTGTCGTTGCAGCAACTCTAGTCGGCACTTTGTAGATTTATCCAATTCTTTGGTATTCATTGTGTTTTTCCTTTGCCTGTGTTCAGAAATACATAATGACATTTTTATAGCCATTCCCTTTCAAAACATAAGAAACGACAACTTAATATGAAAAGATTCTTTAATTTAACAAAATGCATTTCAATGTTTCTCTATATGGTATTCTAGTGTAATTTGAAGTTGATAGAAGATTACTGTCTTAGTATGAGCCATTCATTATGGGTTATTATTTTATGCAGAATTAAATGAATCGTTATCAGATTTGGGCCTGTTTGATAGACAAGCATTGATAGTTGTTCCACATCAGCAAGGGACTAGTTATCTGAGCGGGAGATCTGCATTCTCAGACCAAATAGACTACAGAAATACTGTTAGTTCCTCAAATGGAAATAATGGGGGATATTTTTCGTATGTGAAAGGATTTCTATCTTACTTCAATCCTCTCTCTTATTTTGGTGGTGGTGCAAACTCATCAAGTTCGGGACTGCAATCTAGTGAGTTTCTGCTCTCTGCTCTGATGCCAAAATTTCTCTTTCATATTTGTGCCAGGTCTCTCATTCAGTCTTAGGAAATCTTTTTATCTAATGATTTTTTAGTATGCAGAAATTTGGGTGCATTTGAGCCACACACAAAAATTACAAAAGAAACTCGCGCAATTTTTAATATAGTTTGCATCTTGAATATGGAAGGCTCCATCATTAAGCTTGATATTTGCTAATAGAATGTAGAGGTAGGTTTATGTATAACATCTTATGGTTTTCCACATGACAATTGTGCTATTATGTTTTACTGATTGCTATAAATGGAGGATGATGAAAGAGCTTTTCAATTGATGTTGCAGAGGTTTCCAAATTTGATTTTTCCCGTTAGTGTTAAATATTATGCATTTTTTTTTTCCTTGATTCTCTCTCGAATTTTCTTCTGGAACATTGTTGTGGCATTACTCAATAGCTTATACTGACAGTTTGCCATTCCCAACAGGCCCAAATTCTGCACGTCAAAACAATTCCACTGAAAGCACTTCTACAAGTAGTAGAAATGAAGGGAAAAAAAACAGGCAACCACCAGCATCTGGTTTTGGAAGTAACATACACACATTGAAACATGATGAAGATGATGAACGGTTCAGCGATAGAAATGCCTTCTGGAATGGTAATTCTACTCAGTATGGTGGTGGCAATGATGATGGCAAATAAGATATTCATGATAAATCATGCTGAGATTTTACACTCTACTCTGTCCTTAGCTGCTGCTCACTTGTCTGCTTTCTGCTTCTTACCATATATTCGAGTTCGATTGAAAGATAGAGAATTGTAGATAATAAATATAAGTCATCGAGGATCCCAGGCGCTTGCGAATAGAGCAGACTTTGTTGGGAGAGTTTCATGTTTGAACTTACAATTCGAGTTTCATGTTTGTAAATGAGTACTTTTTCTCAACGTTAAGGCTCACAGTTCCATTGACTTTATCCGGGCTCTCAAATTTGGGTTTTGTTGGACCTCCATACCTCGATATCTTGTAGACTTGGTTAATCTGGCCTTTAGGAACATGATTAATATCCCATAGTATGTATTTATAATAGTGATTGGCATTGAAAAAGTTGTTCAAGGTTTATTATATACAAAAATTTCATTCATAAATGGTGTACTGTACATAGTGAGTACTTTTTCTCAACGTTAAGGCTCACAGTTCCATTGACTTTATCCGGGCTCTCAAATTTGGGTTTTGTTGGACCTCCATACCTCGATATCTTGTAGACTTGGTTAATCTGGCCTTTAGGAACATAATTAATATCCCATAGTATGTATTTATAATAGTGATTGGCATTGAAAAAGTTGTTCAAGGTTTATTATATACAAAACTTTCATTCATAAATGGTGTACTGTACATTTATGACCAAAAAAAAAAAAAAAAAGGTGTACTGTACATAGTAGTATCTTTATAATTATGAGGAGCCAAAAATAAACTTATAAAACTAGAGTTCAGAAAGAGTGTTGCTATTTCTACCCGTCCTATTTTCTCACCCTCCATGTAAATTTGACAAAACACAATCCTATCTTTCCACCCACCATTATTCCTAAATTACCCTTTAATTATTAATTCAAACAAATTCTCTTAATTCAAACAAATTCTCTTTGCTAATCAGTGGTAGCAATTAATATGTTCTTACCTCGACACGGTAATGCCAAGAAGTGCTTTGTCATAATGCAAACAACTGATTTGTTAATTACTAAACCAATTGGGAGGGTATTCAAACATTTGGAGTAAGATATTGGCACAATTAAGGAGACAATTTCGGGAAAAAAAAAAGAAAAGAAAAAAAAAGAGAGGCAATTTCTCTTATAGCTGAAAGAATCAAAAAGACAATCTTTTTAGTTCACTCAACAAAGAGTCAAAGAGTTAATCTTTTGTCCGCATTAGTTTTGCTTTTAGCATATTAGTTTGTTGCCTTCTTAAAATTGGTATTTTAGATGTCTTGTTGATGTTTTTGATTGTACTGTTGAAGTTTATCTAATAAAGTTTTTATTTGACAAAAAATACAAAACAAAACGAAGAGTCAACGAGACAATCTTTCAAGCATATAAGTGCTAGAGGTACGGTTTCGTATACCATTATTTATACACCTCTAGTGCAGAGTGCGATCCAATCAGATAAAAGTCTATTGCTAACTATCGCATGATAGAAAAATGATCAAAACTTCTACATATATTCTTGCTTTTACTTTATTTGTTGTCTTTATGTTGTTTGCAAACATACGTAAGTGGTTTAATAATTCGGTATTATGTACAACAGAAAGTGAATAATGCAACTCATGATAACATAATTGTATTAGGTTTTTTAAGAGCAATAGTCTATATGTGAACCTGTACTCGATTCACATTTTGGTCATTGAATTCGCAAAATGGCTGTTGTAGTCCATCAACTTCACTTTCATTTGCAAACCCAAGCTCCATTTCAATTGCACCCACCTTTTCAAAATGTGCAGCGGAAGCACCCCAACATGACAAACCACATTGCAACCAAGCAACACCACTTGGCAATTCGTGATGGGAAGAGATCTAGGTGTGAGACATCTCTTGATGGGGAGAGATTTGTGGCTGCGGTGGTTGATGAACTTGGGGAAGCTCTTCAAACCCAAAAATGGTGAGCTTGGTTACGAAGCGGGGGCAGAAATGGTAAGTACCCAAAATTCTAATGAAATAAGAAACCAAAATCCTAACTAAGTAAAGACTCGCCAACAATGTCAGTGATGGTTGTTGAACCTAAAAAGACCATTTCACCCATAATTTTAACTTAGAAGCTAACTGAAGTAATGCTTACGATACTAATGAAAGTATAGGGACTATATCAGCAATTTTGCAAATTCATTGATGCCAATCGGGTGCAAATTCATTACGCATGGTTCTTACCATTCTATATGAATTATTATGATCATGCTTTACATTTTTATTGTAGGCTTATTATTTACTGATTTTTGTTAGTTTTTTTTTTGTTCATTTGTAGGGACCTCAGAATCATTTGGGATTTTGGACTGTGGTTGGAGAGCATTCTCATGTAGATGTAAGCTCAACATTTCGTGGCAGATGTTATAATCCATGTAGTCGTGACAAAAAATGTAGGAGAGAAAACGCGACATGTGGATTATGTAGTGGTTGGACTCGTTCGAAGTGTGTATGCTTGACATGTTAAAACTTGGATCCCGAGCCTCTACATTTAGCATTGACATATTTACTCGCATTTAAGATAATCTTAACCCTTATATTAATTTAATGAGTTTTAATTGTATTTAGACTAAAACTATAATGCACCTTATTCTTATTGGATCAAATCCTCTCCTAACATTGTTCATCTTTTTTTTTTTTGGTTTGAACCATGAGGTGGTTCTGGATGGGCCCCAACTATGGGTGACACCTTTAAGCCTTAACCACAACCCAGACTAATCCCCACTCACACCGGGTCAGCTCGTAAGGGGTAAAATGTTGGCCAAAGTGGTGACTCCGTACGAGAGCAGGGATCGAACCCCTGACCTCTCTAAAGGAATGAGAGTGCCGAACCACTCACACCAACCACCTTGGTTAACATTGTTCACCTTTCAATAACAAAATAACCAAATTAAATAAATACCTACCATGAACTATAACATCTTCTATCTTTACCCAGCAGGATTTTCTTTTTATGAGAACCAGTTCACATATAAGATTTAAGTCAAATTACAAAAGCCATGATTTCATTTCGATTGTGTTACTACTGATAGTATAGGAAACTGAAAAAATAAACTATTTTGGATCTCCCATTGGAAGATCAAGAAATAGACGAATATGCAACACTCTATATTTACGAATCCCCCAATTGGGTACAAATATAAACCCAACACCCAAACTGAAACCAAAGGATTATTATTATTATTTAAAAATGAATGAAAGGTATATCATCTTATTTAGATTGAAAAAGAAAAAAAAAACGAATGACAAAGTGATGAGAGCGATATGCAATTCAAGAAGCAATAATGTCCATAATTTACAAAATTAATATATTAAAAAAGATAATTTATTGGTATGAGACATGCCGAATTAATATCAGTTTTGGAATCAAATTCCAGGTTTTGATAATTATGAAAATGACACAAGTATGGGAGAGAAGGCGGAAAGGCCGCAGGAGTGAGGAAAAGATGGATAAGTGATACAATGCGACAGGAGAGTTTTAGGGCTTGTTTGGGATTGCTTCTTCCCGAAGAGCTTATGCTAATAGCACTTATGACATAAGTGCTTCTGCAAAGAAGCAGTTTGTCATTTGGATGTCAGATTTAAAAGTGCTTTTACACTACATAAAAGCACTTTTGATATTTTGTTGAGTATTTGGCTAAAACAATAAAAGTGCTTTTAAAAGTACTTTTAAAAAATCAAACTGAGATCTCTAATGGTACATGCAACTTCAAAATTTTGAAAAAGCCACTAAACAAACGATTGCACATTTACATGCTCAATCTGCTGATTGCAGCAAATCAATTTAGGCACAATAAGAAGCTACAAACTTAAGGAGATAAAGGATATTGAGACTCTAAACTCTAAACACTTTTGGAGGCAGCCCAGTTGTCCTATCTTCTACACAAAATCGTTAACCATATGATTGTGAATGTCAACAAGGTAAGAGAGGCTGACTGCACCAGCAGCACTTGTAACTAATTGGTACCTCTTCCTATTTATAACAAGGAGTTCAATGCTAATCGAGTTCATAGCTAGATCTCCGATGGTGGGCAAGGATTTAAGGGAAGAGGAAGTCTGAGAAAAGAGGAAGGGATAAATATTGGAATTTGGAAGATGGGTAGCTGATCAAGCAATGTTGATCCAAATCTGAAAAAGAGAGAGAGAAAAAAAAAATGGTATTTTGGCATTTAAAAAAATTGAATATGGGTATTTTCGGTATTTTAAAAGTTTCATTAAAGAGAGCCAAGTGATTCCCGTGTTTTTGTCCTGCAACGCTTTTAAGAAGAAGCACCTCTCAGGTGCTTCTTCCAAAACCACTCCAAGTGCTTTTGGATCTCACCCAAAGCGCTTTTGCAATTTTTGCCAAACACCATTTTTAAAAGACAAAAGTGCTTTCACCCATTTAGAAGCGCTTTTCGTTGCTCCAAAAGCACTCCCAAACGAGCCATTAATATAATACAATTATGATGAAGTGGAATAATTAATGGTTAAAATTGTCTTAAATGCGTGTAAATGCACCGATGCTAAATATAGAGGCTTGGATCCTTGAAACATCTATTAAATATGCTCAATAAATATTTTGAAACTTTTACCTTCTAATGGGTTTTGTGTTAGATTTTCAAATATTAAATGTGAGACTTAAAATGTTCACTTTTTGTTTTTGTTTTTTTGTTTTGATTGTAATTTATGATATATAGTTTAGTTTCTTTGTTTTGTTTTGTTTTTGTTTTTACATCAAACAACGATATTCATTAATAAAAATTCAGCAATACATCAAATATGCGTACAAGATATGAGTTGCAACATGACTGCAAAAGCAACACTTCGAAAAGGAAAAACTAAAGCAGACAAAATGCGCATAAACAACTAAAAAACTCAAATCACCAAAATCTAGTATATATTTAAACCCATACAACCTAAAACAAATAAAACCTTAAATTAAACAAACTATAAGCCTAAATCATCACTACCACCATGAATCGAAGTCGCGCCCTCATAAAACCCACCACATCTAACCAAGAATAACTTGTAAAACAAATGGGGGATATGGAAAAGAATCAACCGCCAACGATCCAAGTGTGTATAAAAGCAAATAAGGGTTGCATAATAGCAAACAAAAGTCTTGATTTGATGGCAAGATACACATGGCAAATCGTAGTGAAGTCCTTCATATTATTGTTAAAATTAAAGTTAGAGAAAATGAACTAATCTGGAGAGAGGGTTTTGGGGCGAGGATTGGAATGAGGAATGAGCACAGAATAGGCAATTTTTTTATTTTTTTTATTTTTGTCGAATGATGAGTTTCATTATGAAAACTCACCCAAAAGATGATGACACAAATACAACAAAACAAAGCAACTGAGTAAGGAAGCTCAAAGGTACAAACTAATCTGC